AACCCCTGCCACATTCCTTCCCACACACAGCCTCTACAGCACTTCTGGATGAAAGGCGCTACATAAACATGTTTTATTGTCATGTACTGGGTGCCTTTCCACTTCGGAGTAGGCTTCGTGAGAGTCTAACTATCAAACCTAGTTCTGTATTTCACAGCACAGCGACATTTAACTTCTTCCCCTCTCCGGTCTCTGAGCCCTACAAACAGCAAAGCTCTTACCACAAGGGTCCGGAGACACAGAGTCCCTGCAGGAGCTCGGGGGTCCAAAGCAGCCACAAGATCCCACACTTTAATTTTCCTAAAGATCAAAAAGGGGACAAAATCCTTAGTCAAAAGCAAAATTTAGGCAACAAGGGGAAGAACGGCAAAAGGCCTGGCAGTAAACACAGGTGGTGAGTGTCGCTTATGTGATAACCCAGCTCACAGCAATACATCTAGGCTTGTTTGTTCTGGAGACTTGCTCTTGCATTCACTCTCGAGTACAGGTTATTGGTGTTAACAGGGGAAACTGTACGTGATTAACCTAAAAATGAGGAACAGGTTGGCTCTAACCAAACTGAAGACAGCTAACGGTAAAGTTGGCCTTTGGGGCCAGGAGGAGTTCTTGTACATTAGCCCCCTCTTAATGATGGATTACTTAGACCAGACACAGACAGTTCAGAGCATCTCTTCCTTTTTTTTTTTTTGGAGAGGTTTTTTGCTATAGGGTGCATGTGCTCGCCAGACAGAGAGAGACAGAGAGATAGAAAGCGAGAAATCACCCCCCAGGGGGATGGCCATGCCGCAATCCCTTCTCCTCCATTCTCCTCTCGGGATCTTGGGCACGCACGCACACACGCCCAGTGTGAGTTTAAGCCACCGGGTCTGGGACTCGAACCGCAGTCGATTACATGGGAGTCCAGCGACATAGCCATTACGCTAACTGCTGGTCCCCAGAGCATCTCTTTCTGATCAATTCTAACAACGGCCTACACGTACCAGACGAGGATGCATTTAAGAGCTCTGGAGTTCATATTGGGTTGTTGGAAAGTTATGATGCATTTTTGCACAGGAAAACACGCCATGACTTTTCTGACAATCCGATATAAGGCAAACCCTCCTATTTTGATTTAAATAAGGAAAGTCCAGTGGGACCAGCAGTTAGCATACATTATATTATGGGAGCACACGTGTCCTATAGCAAAAACTTCTCCAAAAAAACAAAAAACAAAAACAAACAAACAAAAAAGTCCGTCCCTTCAAAAAACAGAATTGTAAGCCCCATCTCTTCAAAGTCTATAACAGACAAACGCCAAGGACACCCCAAGGCCAAGGTCGAGGCAGTGAGAACATGTAACCCTGACCCTGCTGAAGTGGTCCTCATGCCCTGGACAACCTCCCCGGGGTACAGGACCACAGCTGACTCATTGGCCACACTTCCTGCTGCTTGAGTTGGCTGAACTTGCCAGTATAGCCAATTCCTGAACTAAGATAATGCTATAAGTTAGTTTCTGATATTTAAAAAATGGCAATATCTGAATTGCAGCCTTCCACCCCTCTCCAAAACAGGAACTTTGACAAGGAGACATGCTGAAGACCCTTTATAAATGCATGTGCCTCTGCATACATTTACTCTGTGATCCATTCGTGACATGAAGGCAATCTACAGCCACCAGAAATTAGAGTGAAGGAAGCAAAGGTTACTGAATTTATTTTCACTAAAATAGTAGCAGTGATGAGAGAGGCTCATTTTTATCTTAAAGAATAAAAATTCGAGACCGTAGTATGCTAAGCCCCAGAGCGTCCCAGTTTTATTAGTAAGTTGCCGTTTTAGACCCACATCTGGTTATGCTGGGTTTGTCTGGTTTTATGTTTTAAGGGCAACACACATACATAACCGAAAAAGTAATAAAAAATTATGTACAAATGAGTGCAATGAAATCAAGAGGGCTATTTTAGAAATGAGTAAATAAAGGAGAAATGAATATATTGATTAGACCAAAAAAACCCTGTGTCAGATTCTTTCTGTGAAATCTAAGCTTTTAGAGACAAGGGAAGGTTATAGTTAGGAGCGTAAAGCAGGAGGGGATAAGATGTAGGTTTTTGTAACCCGGGTAGCAAACTCACCCATCATAGGCCCCGCTGACTATTCTCTTGTCATCAAATCGAATACAACGCACCAACTCCTCATGGCCCTCTAACACTCGTAAACACGCACCACACTCGATGTCCCATAACCTGGAAGAGAAAATGGAGCTGAGGAAATTTTCATGTATTCTTATCTAAGCCTGGTATTCTCGTAATACGTTTCACGTTTATCTTCCAAAAATCCACAAAAATAAAACAATCATGGCCCATACAAAAACGTGCTGCTTTCAGCGTAATTTGTTTCCTTTCTGCCATGTGACTCAGACAGAAGCACGATGGCTCATGTACCTCCGTAAGCACAAAAGGATGAGTTCAACGAACACCGCTGCCTGGGGAGGAAGTGACCACGCCCCGAGAGCGGTGCTTCCTCACGTCACCGTAAGAGTGAGAGGCACATGTCAGTGTGGTCCTGCCTGCACCAAGCCTGTCGCCTCTGCCACCAAGCACGCTCTGCTTTCCTCCACTGTCCACCATGGAAACAAAGTCGGCTCTCAGAGACTTGTGTATACTATTGGGCTGTTGGAAAAGTCATGACGTGTTTTTCTGTTTTCCCATGCAAAAACGTATCATGGCTTTTCCGACAACCCAGTAATTTAAGAAATTGCATGCTGCTGGCCAATCCAAGTGATTTCTCAAAATGGTCATTATCTTACATGTGACAATAGTTCTACCTGGCTCTTTTTTTTCATGGCCTCTTCATCCACTTAGTAGTACTTCACTGAAGGAAGGGTGATATGGATAAATCTGCTAAATTCTAATCTTATCTGTGTCATTCATCTTCACGAAGGGACAACACCAACAAGTACTTCGGCCCGTAGACTCTTCATAATTTCAAAGGCAGGGAGCTTTCTGGACAATTACGTAACACTGAGATACAATCGCACAACGTCTCATAGGGAAACAAATCTTTTTTCTTTTCTCTAGCCACAACGGCAAAGAGAAAAGGCCCTGCACTATTGATTAGCGTTTTCAGGTGTTGACAGGAGAAATTGAAAAAGAAGGCCTTCAGCCTTCATCCACTTGTCTTTCTTGCTCACTTCCTCATTCAAGCAGCACCTCTGATAGGTCTGCCTGGTGATAAAACTATTACAGGAAGGAAACACATCAACAAAAGGCTTTGCTGCGCTGCCTCTCTGCTTAGGGCAAACTGTGAACCTGTAGGAAGCTACAGAAAGGAATGAAATTTCATTATGAACATAACACAGTTGAAGATTTGTAGATGTGTGCACAGATAAGGGGCGGAAGGACAGGATCGATTCCTTCTAGGGGAGGAACCGCTGCTCACCTGATGGTGTTGTCAGAAGAGCCACTCACGACCAGCCTGTCTCGGTACTGTAAACAGGCAATGCCTCGTTTGTGTCCATTTAAGGTCCTTACGAATTCACAAGTACTTGTGTTCCACACCTGAAACAGGAGGGAGAACTGAGCAGTGGATCTGGTGCCTTTACTGGTAATAGCTATGACAACTGGACTGTTAGGGAAGCAAAACAACAAAAACCAAAACCAAGACAACTGCTCAAATGAATAAAACAAACAAAAGACAAGCCCAATTACTAGTGACACAGGGCTATCTGTAGCTGACTGCTATCACGTGAGCTTTCCTCACGTGGGTTGATTTACTCTTGTGGGGCTAGTCTGTACCCGCCAATACATTTTTTCAAGTTCATTAACTTCTTCTGTGAGTAAGATACAGAGAGAGAGAGCGAGAGAGAGAGCACAAGAGAGAGAGAAAGGCACCAGGGTCTTTACTGTGATCCACCTCTAGTCTAAGCCAGGCCCAGACCATGGGCATATGTGTATCCTGGGAGTTCAGAGAGGTCTCTGGATCCAAACCTGGAACGTTCTGTGTGAGTCAGCCTTGCAGACCACTACTTTACCACTGAGTCATCGCCCAGGCCCCAGAAACTTTCTTTTTAAAGTTTGCTATAGGGTGTGTGTGCTCACTGGAAAGAGAGATAGAGGGAACCAGCAGTTAGCGTAATGGCTATGTCGCTGGACTCCCACGTAGTCGACTGCGGTTCGTGTCCCGGACCCGGTGGCTTAAAACTCACGCCGGGCGCGTGTTCGTGCGTGCCCAAGATCCCGAGAGGAGAATGGAGGAGAGGGGATTGCGGCGTGACCATCCCCCCTGGGGGGGTGATTTTTCGCTTTCTGTCTCTATGTCTCTCTCTGTCTGTCTGGCAAGCGCACGCGCCCTATAGCAAAAAATCTCTCCAAAAAAAAAAAAAAAAAGAAAGAGAGAGAGAGAGAGAGAGAGAGAGGAAAACTGAGAAATCACCCCTCCGGAAGGATGGTCACACCACAGCCCCTTCTTTTTAATTCTCCTCTTGGGGTTTTAGGCATGCATGCACGCATGTCCAGTGTGTTTTTCAAGCCACTATGTATGTCTGGGACTCGAACCGTGCAGTTGGCCGTGTGGGATCCAGCCACCTTAACCTCTGTGCCACCTACTGATGCTCCCAGATACATTTTCTTGAACCTAAATGTATCCATCCTTTCTACACTCACCATTATTTACAGGAATAAAATACCTAGCCCAGACCGTCCCGTGACCAGTCCTCCTCATGACCTGTTTAATGTGCAGAGTGGTCATTGAAACAGGACTCTGCAGTGATGCCTGAATGTGAAACCGCCGTGGGTCAAATTTCCCCATGAGCTCTCCTATCCTAAGTGCGGGACTTACTGAAAAATGTCTTATTACCTTTATAGTTCTGTCCCCAGATGCAGAAACGATATACTTGTCATCAAAGTCTACAACGTTGACAGCAGCTCGGTGTCCGACCAGCACCCTCCGGAGGGTGATGTCAGTTGGGGAGGCCATGTCCCACACCGCAATGGATCGATCTTTGGAGCAGGTCACCATCATGCCGTTATTGAAACGCAAGTGCAGGACTGCTTCACAGTGGTGAATCAGCGTGTTCAGCATCTCACCTGTATTTACATCCCACACTCTGGAAGGGACACCCGGTGGTTAGATGGCACTCAAGCTACCACCTGTTACCCGGATTTGACCATCATGCCCCCCACTAACCCGTATTTTAACGGAAAATGTTATATCCTACTCTTCTTTATAATATTGAGGTTGAGTTGAGGCAGAGAGTACTGGATGGACCATGGGATTGGTAGAGGGCGACAGAGCTGGACTAGGGGACTAGAAGGACGGGGAAGGGACGCTGCCAGTGTGGACTCCTGGAGATACACCGCCTGGAATCTGGGCAAACTGTGGAGGGTAGAGATGAGGTAGTGGCCACCATTACCTAATAACGTGGCTGGATTTTAAGATTATTATAAAAATTCGGACATTCAATTTGACACTACTAGTAAGACACATCTTCAATGTGAATCTGACTAATAACGGCAGCATTAGTGCCTACCCCATGGTCCACCTTCGGGAACCAGAACTGATACAGGCCAAGATGCTGCTGCTGCAGAAGCAGTAATGTGGATTGGAGTTTGATGAACCCTGGAGCTCAGGTTTCACCACACAGGTCAAGGTCAAGGATTACCCAGACTCCAAGTCTAAGCTCCGTTTCTGTTCTTTGAGAGAGTAGGGTCAGTAGCAGCCCTCCACTATAAATACGGGCTGTGCAGTGGAGTGAATTGAGAATTCGGTGTGAGGATCTATTTCACTTTGTTTACTCTATTTTTGTAGGTTTAGTATGGCTTTATAACATTCTGTTCCCTTTTTCAAGTTTAACCCCCTTTTGTAGGAAATCGTTTTCCCCCTTATCCTGTAAATGATGTTAGTTGCACTCCACAGGCACCAATACATGCTAACTGTCATAACTACAAGGACTAAACTTGCTATGCCTTTGAGTCAAAAAACAAGAAACAGGAACAGCCTTTTCTATTCACCGAGGAAAACTCAGAATGGCAAACATTTCACTTCAAAGAATCTAACAATGCAGTTAACGGCTCTTTTTCAAGGTTTTTTGTTTTGTTCTAAAGTTACTTTTGATGCATTATGTTTGCTAAATTCTTTAGCTTAAGGCAAAATCTCTAACGGAGGTTTCCAGCAGTGCTGCTGGTGCCCAGAACTCAAGCTACACTGGACTCCAGCAGCATAATGGCTGTGTCATCAAATCACTAGCGCCTCTGGAAATGGAGGGCCCCTCCTTGAGTGAGGCTTGCAATTAAACACTGCAGGACGGCAGGGGAGGGGCTGGCAAAGAGAAAGCACTGCTCACCTGTACACACTTTAAAGGTGATAACGCACACAGGCACTACAGTAAAGCACCTGAAAAGAAGGCTTCATTCCATTTGTGCCGTTCCCCTGTGAGCTGGCTTTGTATGGAATTCAAGGTTTCCCATAAAGATAAGAAAACTTTCTATAATGGATGATCCTCAAATTAAATGAACATGTAGTTTCTTAAATGTGCAAAAATGTAAACTTACCTCAGTTATTCCTAAATAAGTTTTCTAGTTCTAGACTGACACAAATGATGGGGGAGCTGACGGTTTATTCTTCTCAGGTTTCAGAACTGTGTTCGTGCAGATATATACAAATTACTATCTATGACAAAGAACAAAGTGGATCTCCTGTTTCAGAGTTCAAAAGAGCATTTGAAAGTTTCTACCTGACCGTGGAATCCGATGATCCAGTTATGATCACCCTCTCGTCATACTGCAGACACAGGACAGAACCCGTGTGGCCTGTGAGAATCCGCCTGCATTCCAGTGTGCTTTTATCCCAGATCTACGATGGCAAACAAGATCCTTTTGATCGCTGTGATAATGGGGTGCTGTGGAGACTTGTTGGCTCTATTATGTGTTTGATCCCCCGAAAAATCAAAGCCCACGGTGGTGAGGAATGCATTCTTTTCCACGGGTAGAGTTAAGCAATACGTAGGGAGTATACATAGGGAGCTTCAGTACAAAGGCAGACTTCATCCTTTTCACTGAGGAACGGGGTAGCCTTTAATTATGTGAGGGCCAAAAGTGTACCGGCCTGATCGGTGTATTTCAAGAGAGGATTTAACCCTAGGACTACCCATCTGTGTGCTCTTCTGCGAAGAAGCAGATGTCTGTCCTTAAAGGAAATTTTTTTGGCTTTGGGATCGGAAAAAGTCTAAAATTCTCACTTTTTTCTAGAAACAGTGCTTAGAGTTTATGCTTCAGACTACTTTATGAACAATCACCCGGGCTCCCTTGGCTTCCCTCCTGCAACTGAAGAGACCTCACCTTGATCGTGTTGTCCCGAAGGCCGCTTACGATTTTCTGGTCATCGTACTGTAAACAGTAAACTCCTTTGCTCGTTTCACTTCGGCAGTGGATCCTCTGTAAACTGTGTCTTCCGCATCTCCAATTAGATTCTATTGTCTGAGAAATAGGCATGGCAGAGGTGGTATGAGGAAAGAACCAGAACCAAACTCTCATTTGACTTTAATAGAAACCAATGGCTTAATGCTTCCCTCTGTGGGATACAAAGGACTTAAAGCAAACTGGAAAGATGCTTTTAAAAGACTGCTCTCTAAATTTATAAATAAAATATTTTTCTACTTGTAAGGTAAAGCTTTATTTTCTTGAACTCTCCTGCATACAGTCCATTCAATTAAGTAATACATCCGGCGGAACGAGTCTAAGCACCATGAGAAGGCAAGCCACGTATGGCAGGAGGCATGTGCACCTGGTTCTTACACGGGTGCCCATTCCCACCAATGGCCTTCCATGGACGCTAGCTCAGAGGTATTTGAGCGTTGGCTCACAAATGTCAATTTCACAGCCTTGCTGCTATTGGATGAAGGCTCAAGTTCTCTCTTTTCCTCTCTCATCTACCAGTAAACCACGTTTTTAGTGAACCATTTTTTGAAAGTTTAAAAAATTTGCCTTGTAACTTACTTTACTCTTTACTTATAAAAGGATTGATTTTTTATTTAACTTTATTTTAATTTGACCAGAGTGAGTGAGAGAGAAGGAAAGTGAGAGAGCAAGTCACCAGGTTTGGGACTCTAACTGTGGTCGGCCATGTGGGAGTCCAATGCCCTTAACCACCATGCCACCTGCTGGCCCC